GTGGGGATATGTTTCGGTCGCGGCCGCGCGACAACGGTCAGGCGGCGACAAGCAAAGTCCGTGGGCATGCGGCACGATGCGAATTTGCGAACACCGCCGCCACGTTGGGAAACCGGCTCGCACCTGCACAACAAGTGCGCAGTCGCACATGCGCGAAACAAAATGAACTAAATTCACAAGCGAACGCACGTAGGCGCCGCAGTGTGAGCCGAAGTGGACAAGCGGCAGAATGTGCGAATGCAGCGGAGTGCGTCGCCGGTACGGCGCCAAACTCCAGGCCGCCGGCCCAGCTGGTTTGGAAACATTGACCAGGGAAGTCGGGCAGAGCGCGGTGGAAAAGACGAGGCAACGCGAGAGCGGAAGGCCAAACCACTCGGCGCTCAGCCCTCAGAATGCTCCGCCCAGCCAAGGGGGGCCAGCGGCAACCAAAGCGCATCGAGTCCGGCGCCTGCGGGATAGGCCCAAGGGTGGACGAGACGATGCGCGGGGGAAACCACAGGCTGTACAGTGGCTGCTACACTCAGAGCCAGGCCCTCCGGAGGACAACTCCCAGCGCCGGTGGAAGCCAGCGACTGCCCAAGCGCCACTGTGCCGTCCTGCCGCGAAGAGGCCCGACGGGATGCAGAACCGCCGACATTTGCTGAGGGTCGGCCCGTGGGGTGGGGACTCCAGCGCTGCCTGCCAGAAGGGCCTTGCTGACGTGGCCACCGCGGCCGCCGCGGGCGAGCCCCGAGGGCACGGGTGGGGGGGGGGCGGCGGGAGACGTGACGTCCCTCGCCGCGGCCAGCCCGCAGCAGAGCCGGGGGGCGTCTCCAGTTTCCTGGTGTGCCCATGGGTGGATGCAACCCGCGGAGAAGAGCACCTTCGCCGTGGAAAAGAGTGGGCGCAGCTGACCGCCGCAAGAAACAAGTAACATTGTTAGCTGCTGCACGCCGAAGGCACCTGAGCATGAGGGGGGCGCAGCTGACCGCCGCAAAACACCATTTACATCGTGGGGGGGTTGGCAGAAACTCGCCGCTGCGGTCCCAGCTGGAGTGAGCCGGCAGCAGGGCGCGCCCCATGGGGGGGGGGTCATGTGCCGCAGCCATACGCACCGGAGCTGAGGCTGCAAAATGGGGCCTGGGACATCCGGCCGGGCGGCGTGCAGGGGGGGAGCTGTTTCAGACGACTTCCCCCTGCCGCCGAGAGAGGGTGGCTGTCACGGCTGGACAGCAAAGGGGGTGCGCAGGGGGGGATGCATATGCTGCCGCCCCCGTGTCACCGAGGGAGAGTGGCTGTTGCCGTGGGGCAGCGAAGTAGGTGATCCCGGGACCGGTGAGGCCTGCGGGCTAGCCCCCCAGCTGCAGAGGGGGGCGAGATGTCCAGGCGAGGGTCCACTTCTCCAGCGCGGGCTGTCTAGCCATGCGGCGCCATGGGTGAGATGTGGGGAGACCCCCGCCCCAGCGGGAGTTGCCCCAGGGCATTGCGGCCGAGGCCGGGCGCTGCGAGGTGAAACCATCCCCAGCGGGGAGAAGCGTGGGCGAGGTGGGGGGGGAGGCGTAGGCGACGGGCTGGGATGGCAGGGGGTGCGCTGACAGGCTGACCGGGCCCTGCTAGCCATGGGCGCACGAGTCCTCCCTGCCCCGCCATCGGGCGCGTTTGTCTGTGTATCGATCGTCTCCCCTGGGGAAGTAACGCTTACCCCTTTCCAATCCGTTTCCGTCCACGGTGCTTTCTGGTGGCCCCAGGAATTCCACTCCTGCCAGCCCTGTCACCAGTTGGGGGTGGCAGAGCCGACGGCACCTGCCCATCGATCATGCACGGCCGCCGCCGTGGCTGACCTGCCCTCTGCCGTCCATTGGGCGGGTCCTCTGCTGCTGTCGGACCCGCGCTGAGCGTGGGTTCTGGGTTCGCGTTGCATGAGCTTCATGTGCTTGTCCTTGACTGACGGCCAGTGGGCGTTGAGCCCTAGGTCGCTGTCCATCTTGTAGGCGTCGTACCCTGCGTCGCCCCGCGCCTGGAGGAACTCGCTGCACGACTGAATTGCGTTTTGTTTAGGGTCGTGCTTTTCGCTTCCGTTGGCCCCCTGCCGCAGGGCAGCCATCTTCACCCAAGCGCGGCTTGTCAATTCCCATGAGGAATGTCAGCAGTGTGCTGATCCGCTGTCGGAGGGGGCACTGGCCTTTCTGCTCTGTCAGAATGGCTGCGTAGCTGTCCCATTTGTCTTGGTACTTCCCGTTGGATTTCATTAGGTGGTAGACCCCTCGGGCCACTGCGGCCCGCTGCCCGTCCCACGGGATGTCGGGGGGGTGACAGTCGTTCGGGATCGAATCCCCGTAGATCATTCCCAGGAAAAGGAGCAGGCGTACTGTGGGCCACGACCATTCGTCGGTTCTGTCCCCTGGGATGCCTGCACCGTGCCGCTGTACGAAATCAGCCCAACATATGTAGACGGAGTGGTTCCATTCCAGCAGGTACTTCACCAAGGAGCGAACGGGGCCGTCGGACTCCACCCCAGAGAGCCTGAAGGTGGAGTGGGTTGGTAGAACGGGGCACTTTGGTGGGTCCTAGCTACATGGGGCCACCTCCACGGCGTCTTGGAGGAGAATGTGGAAGACCTCGCGACTCAGGTGGTGCTGGGCGACAGGGACAGCGCTTGACATCGCACTGTCCTGCAGAAGCTGCAGCAGAACGTTGCCGAGCTGCAGGGCAGGGCCGCTCAGGGTCTCAAGATGCACTGTGGACTGGCCACAGGCAGTGGGGCAGGTCGAGTGCGTCCTGCGCGGCAGCAAGGTGGCGTCGAACAGATCGAGCTCCTGCTCGATTGAGCAGACAAGCTGACCGCGACCTTCGCCCGAAACATCGGCAACCACGACCAGGAGCAACAACAGCTGAAGCCGCAGCAGCAGCGGCTAGACGGCGTCGAAGCCCTGGTCGACAGGGTGGCCACAGTTCTCGGAAGAGGATCGTGGCGACAGAGTGCACCCTCAGCTTCGACGACGACGGGCCGTCCAGATGGTCAGGCAGCGACTGCAGACATCGACGCACCCAGGGGGTGCACATCCATGGGGTCGGCTAGGCGCCAACACCAAAAAGCCTTCCTGGCCACGCGCTGGCCGTTCTCCTTGCGCAGCCTGTGTCCTTCTCTCCCTCCTCCTCCTCCCCTCTCCTCCTCCGCCCATCCCACCTCCACCTTCTCCTCTGTCCCATTTGTTCATCTCCACCCTAGCTCATCTCCCTCACTCATCACCGTCGAACATCACATGCGATGCCTCGTCATCATACACATCACCATCATCATCCACGTCGTCATTACAACCAGCAACAGTGTCAGCAGTATCAGCATCGGCACCCGCAAGAGCATCTCCGTCGTCATCGTCGCCATCGTTATCACCAGCATCGTCAGAAACATCAGCATCATCAGCATCACTATCATCATCATCACCATCATCATCATCATCATCATCATCATGATCAATCATGATCATAAACCACCACTATCATCATCAGTAATATCAATCGCGCCATCATCGGCATCATCACACTCGTCACACATGCCATCAGCGCCATCATCAGCAGCAGCCTAATCAGCAACACCACCATCATCGTCGTCATCATCATTATCACCACTGCGTTCATCATCAGCATCAGCACCATCACCAGAAGCATAGTAATCAACATCATCATCGTCATCAACATCAGCATCATCATCCACAATACAATCGACAACATCGTACTGGTCGCTAGCATCATCACGACCGTAGCCAGCCGCACAACCATCATCATCGCCAGCGTCATCATCATCAGCAGCATCAACAGCATCATCATCAGACTCATCAATATCACCATCATGGTCGTCAACGTCGCCATCGCCACCGCCATCACAATCATCATCATCAACAACAGCATCGTCATCTTCATAATTGATCAGCATCGCCAGCACAGCCATCACCATCATCATCATCAGCAGCATCATCATCACTACCATTATCCACACAATGATCATCAACAGCTTTACAATCGTCACCACCATCACCAACGCCATCACCATCACCATCAACATCATCCTCCTCCTCCTCCTCATCACCATCATCATCAAGATCATCATCATCATCATCATCATCATCATCATCATCATCAGCATCAGCATCAGCATCATCATCCGCATGAACAGCATCGCGGTTGTTTCATCAGCATTACCAGCATCACCATCATCATCATCATCATGATCAGTGCCAACATCGTCATCAATATGGTGGTCGTAATCACCATCATCATCACTATCATCACCGTAAGCATCATCATCGTCATCATCATCACCAGCATCAAGAGCATCGCCATCACCATCACCATCACCTCCACCACCATCATCACCGCCATGCATCATCTCAGCCTCTTCCACATCTTCATTACCACCATACTCATCACATTCGTCAATGTCTCTCCTATTTCGCATGGCCATTCGTCCTCCACCTCCTCTCGCCCGTGAAGGAGGAGGCGAAGAAGAAGAAGGAGGGGGAGTCAGGTGGAGAGAGAAGGCGGAGAGCAGGAGGGGAGAAGGATGAGGACGGGGCGCAAGTGAGGAAGGAGGATAGGGAGAGACGCGAAGGTAAAGGGAAGGGGGATCGTGAATTGGAGGACTGAGGGGCTGAAGGAAGGGATGTGACGAGGGTTGGAAAGGACAACTGCTGGGGGGAGGGGGAATAGAATTCGAACCCAGCTTCCTTGCTCCTCCTCCTCCTTCTCCTGCTCCTCCTCCTCCTCCTTCTCCTCCTCCCTCTTCCCATGCTCCTGAAGAAGCGGCAGAGGGGAGACAGGAGGCAGGAGTAATGGCGGGGAGATTGAAGCGGAGGGGGTGGACTGGGAGGAGAAGGACTTGGGGAGAACGGAGGTCATAATAATCAGCGGTATGCCATCCACTTTCAGCTCCTCTACCACCGACTCATCATGCTGGTGTCCCTCCCCCCCTCCTCCTCCACCACTTCCTCCTGGCTTCGCATGGTCTCTGGCTGCCCTGGCTCCTTCGCGCAAATCTCCTTCCGCGGCCAGCTTGGCAGCTCGCCCATGTCAACGTGACCTCGGCGAGAGCCACCCGTTGAACCCCTCATTAAAGGGGGGAGGGGGGCATGGGGAGGGGGGAGGAGGTAGTGGGAGAGAGGCACGGGGAGGGGGGGGGGAGGGGGGGGAGGGGGGAGAGAGGCAAGCTAGGTGCGCGCGATCTGACGAGGCGGACGGTGGAGTGGGGTGGTGTGGATGGTGCTGGTGCTGGTGCTGGTGGTGGTGGTGGTGGTGGTGGTGGTGGTGGTGGTGGTGGTGGTGGTGCGGCGCGGTGGTGGCGGGCGGATGGGCGCGCGAGAAAGAGGCCCGCGCTGGGGCGAGAACGCCATCCTGAACGACGGAGGCCAAACACCGATCCGAAAATGAGGCCCACGCTGCAGCGGGAGCACGATTCGGAACGATTCGGGAGCAGAAATGAGGCCGGCGCCTCAGCGAGAGCAGCATTTTAGAAAAAAACACAAGCGAAAACCCAACTCCGGGGAATCCTGTGTGTAAAAAACAGTACGCGGGGGGGTGCCGAATATCTTCCGGACGCCATCAGGGGAAGTGGGAGAGTATTTTCATATTGTGTAATTGTGGAGGAGGGGAGGGGGGGGGAGAGGGAGCGAGGGAGGAGAGGGGAAGGAAGGCACGAGGGGAGGGAAGGACGGGGAGAGTGCGACTGACAAAATTGGGTGAGGGGAGGGAGGGCATGTAGAGAGGGGTGGACGGACGATGAAAGAACGTCCCGGATGAGGGGGATGAGTATCCGTCGGATTCTCGTCGAACCCGCGTCGGAGCACAAGGAAAAACAGCCATTTGGGGAACAGGAGAGGCCCCCCAAGATGCGAAGTAAACGGCGACGACGAGGACGACGAAGAGAACCCCCCCGAGTGAGGGGCAACGATGGGTGGGGACTGGCGCAAGTGGGGAAGCATCGCCCTGGAATCGGCGATACATCGACGATCGATCGGCGAGAGGCCCACGATAGCAAATCCGAAAGTTCATGAGAGGGGTGGGGCTGTCAGACCCCCTCTGAGCCTATCCCTCGCTAATGCTGACCCTGACCCTGGTCTTCACGTCCCTCTTCGACGCCCAGTCGTTTTCGGGCCACAACTCTGGCCTCCAGCGGCCGTTCGGGGCGATCCGGGCATCCTGGGAACGCCCTCGGCGAGGCGCAGCCGCTGGAGATAAACCCCGAGGCTGGAAATTCCACCGAGGATCGACGAACACATCTGAAAACCTCCCACCTGGGACACCGTCGTCCTGTATCCCCCCTTCCAAACATCGCAAACATCCCACTTGCCATCGCTCGGTCGTCGATGCTTCGATTTCGCGCGTTCCTTTTTCGCTAGATGATACAAGATGCTACACCCTCAGATTTTCTGGCGCTGGCCTCACCGCAAAATGACGCTACCGAGGAACCCCACATGCTTCAGTTCCACTTGTGCCAGCCTTGCTGACGCGCAACATACGTGGATGCTGCGAGGTGGTCAACGCCGCGAAGACGTCGCGGGGAACAAAGAGAGAGAGGGTCAGCGAGGGCCGCTTACTCCAGATATCGTGATAAAAGGGAGGGGGTCTGGACCCTCCAAGACAAGCCATTTTGAGACCCCCCCCCCGTGGGAGAACCCTCCGAAACGTCGTCCCCAGACCCCCCCCAGGCCCTCCAAGATAGCCTGGAAGAGACCCCCCCCCCCGAAATGAGACCCCCCGCCCTTTATTACGAAATCCGGAGTGACCATGGGCGGCGGGAGGGAGGCCCGAGGCGCTGCCGCCGCGCCGCGCGAGCCTGCACCTGCCGCGCGCCTTGCGACGCGGGCGAGCGCAGCGCCCCCCTGCCCTCCTGCGAGGACACAAGCCTCCTGCGAGGACGCAAGGGGGAGAGAGAGAGAGAGAGAGAGAGAGGGAGAGAGAGAGAGCGGGCCGCCGGCAGGAGGCGGGGGGAGGAGCGCGGCGGTATAGGGGGAGGCAAGAGCAGGGCAGGAGGGAAGGTAGGAGGGAAGGCAAGAGGGAAGGTAGGAGGGAAGGCAGGAGGGAAAGGTAGGAGGGAGGCAGGAGGGAAGGCAGGAGGGAAGGAGGAGGAGGGAGGCCACGTCCAGCATCTCCGCCACGGCGGGCGCCCGCGCTCCCTGCGCAACCCCTTCCGGCGCCGAGGGGGAGGCCACTTCCTCCACGCCGTGTGAGCCTGGGGCGAACATTTTTTTTGTTAGAAAAAAAAAGAATTGGCGCTCCCACTGAGGAATTGCTCCGACCCCTACAGGCCACCAGCAAAGACCGACACCTGGTTCTTGAGCCTGGGGCGACCAGTGCTGCCGCCAGGGCCTCTGAGATGCACGACGGCCCCCGGAACGAAAGTTTCCTACGGCGCGCTTCCACGGACATGGAGCGGAGAAAAGTGCCGGAGACGAGGAGTGCGGAGAAGATCTGATCAGATCTGAGAGAGACGAATATGTGATGGAACCTCACCGTCGGCGAAAAGCCTCCGATAGCGTCCGGCACAGGCGCTCCAGCAACAAAAAATGTACAGACAGGGGTACAGGCAGTGGCACAGGCGAAACTGCCATTCTGGCCAGGAGTGCGATACGTACGATTTGCACATCACGGTTGATGCTGCAGTGGAGGGGGAAAATTAGGCCTGCAACGTCCCGAGACCCGTAAACGGATAGAGACCGCGCTCGGGGACCACCCCTGCGCGCCCACTGCGGCGACGAAGAAATGCCGCGCCTGCCCCGCCCCGCGACCCTAGGACGGATAGAAACCACGCTCAAGGACCACGCCCTGCGCAACCCTTGTCGCGTGGAGAAAGAGCCACGCCTGCGGCGCCCAGCGACACTGCAACGGATAGAGACCGCGTCAGGGACCACCCCCTGCGCACCCCGTGTGGCGTGGAGAAGGTGCCACGTCTGCCACGCCCTGCTACTCTGGGACGGCGGGAGCATGACCTGCGCAACCCATGTGGTGTGGAGAAAGAGCCACGCCTGCCACGCCCCGCGAACCTGGGACGGTTAGAGACCACGGTGACGGACCACCCCTTGCGCACCCCGTGTGATGCGGAGAAAACTCCTCACCTGCCGCGCCTGGCAAGCCAGGGACGGATAAAAACGCGGAGAACGACCCCTATGAAAACTTACTGTCTCTTCCGCGCCGACTTCTTCCGAACGACTTCTTCCGGACCACTTCTTCTGGACGGCTTCTTCCAGACCACTTCTTCCTAAGTCGACTTCTTCCGCGACGACTTCTTCCGGACCATTTCTTCCGAACCATTTCTTCCGGACGAACTATTTCTGGACGACTTCTTCCGAAAGATTTCTCCCGAGCGATTGTTTCTGAGACAGTATCCTCTGCCTCCTCGGCCCTCACCTACTCTGAACGACTTCTTCCAGACGATTTCTTCCAGACCATTTCTTCCAGACAAATTCTTCCAAACGACTTCTTCCGAACGACTTCCTCCGGAAACAAGTCTTTCGGACGACTTCTTCCGACGGGCTTCTTCTGGGCGGTTTCTTCCGGACGTCTTCTTCCAAACGACCTTTTCTGGACAATTTCTTCCGAAACGATTTCTTCCGGGCGATTTCTTCCGGACGATTTCTTCCGGGCAACTTGTTCGGAACGCTTTCTTCCGAATGACTTCATCCGAGCGATTTCTTCAAAGACTTTCTCCTTCGCCCCGTCGTTCCTCCCACACCTTCTTCGAACGTCATCTTCTGAACGACTTCTTCCGGCCCACTTCTTCCAGGCTGCTGCTTCCCCTCCTCCTACTTCTCCTCCTCCTCCTCCTCGTCCTCCTCCTCCTCCTCCTCCTCGTCCTCCTCCTTCTCCTCCTCCTCCTCCTCCCCCCCCTCCCCCTCGTCCTCCGCATTGTCCTCCTTCTCCTCCGCGACCTCGTCCTGTTCGGCAGCCGCAGCCCCGCTCCTCCATCCCCCGAATTGTCCTTTCCGAAGATAGCCCCACGATGGCTCCAGGGAGCCCCAAGAGACACCTAGAGGCCTCCAAGCCAGCCTGGAGACTGGCCCAGGCACAACCGAAAAGCATCCAAAGAGCGGCCGAATCCCAAGATTATGTTTTGAATGCATACTTCTTCTTCCGCGCCGACTTCCTCCGAGAGACTTTTCCCGAACGACCTCTTCCGGACCACCCCTCTGGACGACTTCTTCCGGACCACTTCTTCCGAGGTCGACTTCTCCCGCAAAGACTTCTTCCGGACTACTTCTTCTAAACCACTTCTTCCTTGCGACTTCTTCCCGACGACTTCTTCCGAACGATCTCTTTCGAGCGACTTGGTCGGAAAATGTATCCCCCCGCATCGTCGTTCATCCTCCACCTCCTCTTCCTACTCATTGTTGTCCTCCTCCTCCTCCTCCTCCTTCCCCCCGGATCTGCTCCACGACGGTGTCTTCTTTGAACGGTCTCTTCCCAGCACGGTCTCTTCCGCAAGCAATTCTTCCCGACGACTTCTTCCGGACGACTTTTTCCGAACGACTTCTTCCGAACGACATCTTCGGGACCTTTTCTTCGCGACAGCTTTTTCTGAACGGCTTCGTCCAGACCCTTCTGGACGTTTTTCTTCTGGAGGAGATCTTCTGGGCGAGTTCGTCCGAAGGTGTCTTCCGAGACGATTTCTTCTGGGCGACTTCTTCTGGAAGATGTCTTCTGGACAATTCTTTCCGATGGTGACTTCTTCCTGGGCGATTTCCTCTGCGCGACCTCCTCAAAGAGCTCTTCCAGGCGATTTGTTCCAATGGTGACGTCCTCTGGGGCGTCTTCTTCCAGGCCCTCTCTTTCAGACGACTTCTTCTGGACGAATTTTCCCGAGGGTCAGTCCTGCCGATGCGACTTCTTCTGGCCCCATCCTCGATCCTCATCCTCCACCTCCTCGCTCTTCTCAGGCCTCCTATTCTACTCTCATCCCTCTTCCCTCCTCCTTCTTCCTCGTGCCTCTTGCCTCCTCTCCCTTCTCCTCCCTCCTCTCTGTTACCTCCTCCCTTCTCCCTTCCTCCTGCCACCTGTTCCTCTTGTCCCCTTCGCCCTCCTCCTCCT